AGGTCGTCTCCATGGAGACCTGGCAGGAGGCCAGAGCAGGCAGGGCTACCACCCCTGGGCCCTGGGCAGACAGCGGCTCTGTTGCTTAAGCCCTATTGATTAAGCGCCTGGTGTATGCCTGGCTTACACCAACCGGGTGCTGTCCGTCATATGTGGCTCATGACATGACCAGGCTCAGGGTGTCAGAAAGCTAGTGAGGGTAGCAGGTGTCCTGGGGCCAGCATCCCCCGAGCTCCCTACCCTCTGCCCTGTCCACCCAGGGGTGGGTACTGTGGTCCACTAGCTGGCCTTCTTTGGCACCCTCTGGGATTTGTGCCCAGGGTGCAAGTGCCCCCTCTGCCCGGCCTCCTCCTTGCTCTGCCTTAGCCTGTGTTCCACAGATGTTTCAGCAACTGTCCACGCCTTGCTTCTGAGTGACCTCTGGGTGGGCTCAAACCTCTTACCTTTTCAGCCCAGCACATTTGTGCCACCCAGGGACCCCAGGCTGGTGTTGTTGGGTGCCGTTGAGCTGATTTGAGCCCCAGAGGGTTCCCTTGGTTGCCATCTGCCAGGCCTTTATTCCATGGTGCTGCCAAGTGGACGCAGATGGTCAGTTAGCAGCTGGACGGGGGTGTGGGGTGTGTGTGTGTGTGTGTGTGTGTGTGTGTGTGTGAACCGGGCCTCCCAGAGCCCACTTTACAGATGGGGAAAGGGAGGCCCAGGGAGGGACGGCTCTTGCCTTAGGTCCCGTGAGGAGTGCTAGAATTCAGACCTGTCCATGGGAGTCCTGTGCCTGCACTGTCCAAGAAGGGCACCTACTGTGTGCGCCTGGTGGTGTTACCAGAGGGCCCACTGTCCTGGGGAGCTGGGGGAGGTCTCTCAGTGGAATTCCACAGCCCTGTGAATGAAAAGTTCACCCATCCCATGTTGTGCCGTGTGGGGCTGTGTAAAGCACCTACTGTGGGCTCTCCAGGGTGGGGCTGCGGCAGAGCAGGTGGAGCAGGAGGCCTGCTGTCTTTCTGCCTTCTTGTACAAAGGCGGGGAGTGGGCACACGGGTCCAGATGTTTGCAGAGCACCCACTATGTGCCGGTGTTCCAAGGAAGGCACCCCAGCTCAGCCCTCCCACTGCCTGGGGGGTTTTGCAAGGGGAAACTGAGGCCTGGGGATTGAGAAAGGCAGGCTGGGGTAACCTGGGGGACACCTCTTGAGGGTGTCATTGCAGGGAGGCATGGGTCTTGGTGAGAGGGCAGCTGTCCCCAAGCAAACCCTGGACAGAGTCTTCCAGGCACTGGACCTGTGTGTCCCTCAGCCAGGTGCTGACCCTCCCAGAGCAGCTAGCCCACTATGTGGGGGTGGGGGCTAGTCTGCCAGGCGCTGGCCAGGCAACTGTGCCTCCTGGCAGCTTCAGGTGGCAGTAGCGTAGTGCCATCTTTACCAGACCAGACCTTGGTCTGGCTACCGCTCTGTTTCTAGAAACATCAGGGCAAGGAGCGATGGGTTTAAAATGTGTGGTGATTTGTGTAGAAGCTGGAGCTCCTGGTCCCCCCAGTGCCTTGTGGGTAAGAGCTCTGCCCTTGGGGAAGTCATTTCCCACCGTGCCTCAGTTTCCCCCTTTGGAAATGGGGGTGCTGGTGGGGCTCGTCCCCTCAGGCAGGCCGCAGCTATAGTGGAATGAGAGGCATTTGTCGCCAAGGATGGTGAACAGACAGGGCGTCCCCCACCTCCTCCGCAACTCCCCGCCTCCCCCAGACCTGTTGGGCCTCCCCATTCCCCTGGCGCCCTGGTGCAGTTTTCAAACCCGCACCCCGGGCAGCTCAGGGCCCCTATTGGCTGCCCAGGCGGAGCCGCCCCTCCCCCTCCAGGCCACCTTCCCCGCCTCCCCCGGATCGAGTGTCACGGGCCTGGCACTGGCGGCCCCATCTGTTTCCAATCTGGCTCTGCGCTCCCCGGCCCCTCCTCACGGTGGCGGGTGGGCTGGGGGCCTCTGCCACCGAATTCGCCATTCCCCCTCGACCTGGACCAGGGGGCCCCCCTAGGGGGAGGGACCTCGCAGCCTGCGCCCCTCCCCCACACCGGAGTGCTGCTGTTGGGGGGCGAGGGGGGCTCTGTAACCTGGGAGGGAACCTTCTGCCCCTTCGCCGACCTCCAATATCTGGGTGTGTTAGGGGAGCCTCTGCCTCCCTGGGGTCCCTCACTCCTTCGTTTACCACCCCACCCCCTTCTGTTGCCATGATCCCGATCAGCGCTATGGAGGAGAAAGGGAACAGGGGAGGGGCTTGGACGACACCCCTTGGGTGAGCCCCCCAGCCACTAAGCTGGTGCTCATCAGGACACCTTGCTGCCAGGTGCCCCCGGCGGGGCTCCCCTCTGGTGCCCCCGCCCCACTTCCGGCTGGGGCACCGCCCCAGCCCCCCCCAAGTCTGCTGAGAGCCCCGCCTTCGCCCCGCCCCCAGGCCCCCGCTCGCTCGCTCGCTCGCTCGCTTGCTGGGCCTGGCCTCTCCAGAGTCCTCGCTGCGCCTCCTCCGCGCCCTGGGCGGACCGCGGGCCAGGGACCGAGGGGAGCCGGGCCGAGGTGACCGGCGAGGCGGCGCGCGGTGGAGGGCCGCCGGCCCCACTCTGAGCCACGGCGTGAGTGCCCCCCCTTCTGTCCCCAGACCCAGTCTGAGCTGGGCTTTGTCCCCCGCTGGAGGGGGCGGTGCCCATATCCCCCTCCTCACGCGCCCTGCAGGGTCAGCGCAGACCCCCCGCAGGCGGGCGCTCCCCAGCCGCCAGCTCCCCGCTCCCCAGGACCTAGTCCAGCACTTTGGAAAAGTCTGGACCGTTATGCTCTGCGGGGGGGCCCCTCCCCCGACCTGGCCCTGGGCCTCCCCCTCCCTCTCCTGGGGGTGGAGCCGAGCGTGGGCTACCAGCCTGGGGGCACTGCCACAGGGGCCCCTATTGGCATCCATCCTCCGGGACCTGTAAAACAGGGGGGGGGGGTAGTAGGACCAGGGTGCGGGCGTGGGGTGCAGAGCCACCCTCCCCCCTCCCCCAAATCGCAGAAAGTTTGCGATCCTCTGGGCTCTTGCCTTTGCCGCGAGCCTGGGGGCCCCAGGGGACAGCACTTCTGCTTAGCTGAAGGCTAAGGCCCAGGAAGGTCTGGGCCTGGGATTCTGGGACAGTCCTATCCCCTGACCCCCTCTCCAGTCCCCCCTCCCCCCCAGGACTGCCCCAGAGGCCTGCAGTTCCCAAGGCTTCTGCTCATGGGTGGCTTGGCTTTCTGTGGCCCTCCTCCCTTAGTGACTTCAGGGACTTCTGGGCTGACCCCACCGTGTGTGCGCACCCTCCCCCCATCCTCCCCCAACCCTTCAAAGTGCAGAGCAGCAAAGTTGCTCTGAGAGGGCGCTACCCCATGCAGCCTCAGTTTCCCTCTGTGGACCAGGCAGGGTGACGGGTCCATGATGCAAAAGCCCCAGTGAGCATCACTGCAGGCACTTGGCAAATGGGGAAAGGGGAGGCGGCCCTCATCCTGGGGGATGACAAAACTGCCCCCACCCCCACCCATCCTGGACTCTTGACAGAGCTTGGGGCATCAAGGAGGGCTGCCCAGAGGAGGTTTGCTGCAGCGTAGGACATGAGCTGGCGCAGCACGCATATAGACAGGTACCTTCCTTGATGGGAGCAAAGAATAGGGAGCCCAGGTACCTGTGGGTACAGGCATGAAGGGGGTCGCCCAAGGCTGGGCGTCTGGGTTTTACTGCATGGAGGTGAGAGCCATGGAGGGCTTTAGAGCTAGGGAGAGGCAGAGTCAGGAGTAACCACTCATCAGCCCCCCCAGTCGGGTGCTGGGCTGGGGAAGGGTCCTAGGGTGTGTGTATGAGCCCGGAGGGAGTCCAGGCTCAGCCTGGGGTGAGGAGAGCTTGCCTGAAAGGGAGCATTGCCAGGTGGCCAGCTGGGAAGGGTCAAGATAGCCCAAACTTCCTGGAGGCTGCATGGATCAGACAGTGCAGGGTCCCAACTCCAGCAGGGAGCCCGGGAGCCCTGGTGGGTGTGTGAGCAGGGGAGGGGCACACCCAGATCTGGCCAACTCCTACCCCTGCAGGAAGCCCCTGAGGGGCACATACTGGTAGAGGCTGGCCTGGCAGCCGGGAGAGAGTGTGAACTATGGACTCAAATCCCTGCCCAGCCCAGCCCCCTCTGGGCTGTATGACCACAGCCCTCTTTGAACTTGTGTCCGAATCTGCTTACTAAGAAGGAATCATGGGGGGTGCTTAAGGGGGTTCCGTCTACAGGGGCGCCTGGAGGGCGTCACCGATTCCTCTCTTTGGGGCTGGGCCCAGATCCCTGCCCACCCCACCCAGCCCTTCCTGGCCAAAGGGACCCTTGGGGACAGTGGCCTGCGCCTTTTACGTCTTCCTGTTACAAATCGATGGTCAATTAAAGCCACCTCCCTTGGCCCAGCCTGGGCTCACATCCTTTCCCACCCAGCCCCACCCTGCACCCATCCCCACTGGGATGGGGTCTGGGGACAGAGCTGCTGCTCGAACCGCCTTGCTGCGGAGTTAGGGTGGGGCTCTTGTGTCTCTGAGTGTTCCAGGGGTCCTGGTTGTTGGGTTGCCTGGCCCTGTCCTTGAAGGGCCCCCACAGCCTGCAAGTGAGGTCTCAGGCTTCGGGACCCTCCCCCTGGGTCTGGAAAGTGGGGTAGGGGTCACTATGTGTTCCTCTGGCTGGCACTGGAGTCCCTGATGGGGCGCCGGACAGGGCCCCCAGACACCCTCAGGCCTGGGAGTATCCGCTTGGGAGGGTGACAAAGCCTATTTGCTGCTGGTGCTGGGTCACAATCGCCCCTTTATGCTCCCGGAGCGTGTGGGCTCACGGGCTGCGTGTCCAGGACCGCGTGACCCTCGGCCCAGTGCCTGGCCGGGGTGGACGCCCAACTCCTCCTCACCCGCAGTGTTCCTCAGCAGGTGTCTCCATGGCAGAAGCCCCCCTCCGCTATTCAGCAGGCTGTGCTGGCCCAGAGGGTCGTCCACCTTGCTGACGTCACAGTGAACTGGGGGCTCCGGACTTGGGGTATCCCCCTCCACCCCTCTCTGATAGCCTGGGGTGAGTCACTGCCCGTGCCAGCCTCAGTGACCCTTCTGCATCAGTCCTGCTGAGGGCACAGGAGCCGAGCTTCGCAGCCCTCGGTGGGTAAGCGGTGGGGTGGGTGGAAACAGGGGTCCCCGGGTTTCAGTTGAGTTTCTCTCAGGGAGGTTTCACTTCCCTCCCACCCCAACTTAGCCGAGTTACCTTCTGTGGCCCCACGGGCCACCAGCCCCATCCTCGTGGCTACCCCCTGCCCGGGAGTCAGAGAGTGCCACCTCTTGCTAACTGAAATGTTGGCCGTTCCAATCCACCCAGCGGCCCACAGGAGGAACAGCTAGAGATCTGCTCCCGTGAGATGAGTCAACACCCGTGGCCATGGAGTGCACTGCACACACAGTCCTCCAGGGCAGAGTGCAGTGGCCGCTTGGCTTCCCAAGCTGCCATCTCTATGGGACTAGATCAGCGGTTCTCAACCTGTGGGTCTCGACCCCTTTGGGGGTCGAACGACCCTTTCACAGGGGTTGCCTCATTCTTAACAGTAGCAAAATGGCAGTGATGAAGCAGCAAGGAAAATAATGTTATGGTTGGGGCGGGGGTCACCACCACATGAGGAACTGTATGACAGGGTGGTGGCATGAGGAAGGTGGAGAACCAATGGGCTAGACCGTGGACCCTGGTGGCCTCGTGGTCACACGTTGGGCTGCTAGCTGCCCAAAGTCAGCAGTCGGAAACCACCAGCCTAAGGCGAAGCTTTCTACTCCTGTCAAGAGCGAGGGTCTCGGAAACCCACAGGGGCAGTTCTGCTCTGACCTGCCGGGGTCGCTCCGAGCCGGCGTCGACTCCCTGGCAGTGAGCTTGTTGGTGTTTTCTGTCCCGTGGAGCTGCCGGTCAGCAGCCGAGGTCCCAGCCACTCCCGGCCGGGGCTTTTCTGAGAAAGTAACGGCCTGGAGAAGTGGACGGAGGGCCAGTGGCACCGTGTCGCTCTTGGTGGGACCAACTCAAAGGTGCCAGCACCAGGCTGAGCTCCTGCCTCAGTTTCCCTTTCTCTGGCGGCAGGGCAGCGTGACCAGGCCTTTCTCCGCAACAGGCCCCAGGCAGAGGATTGGCCATGCACCATGCTGGCCTCGTCCCTGCCCAGAAAGCTTCAGCGCCTGGGAGCCCACTGTGCTCCACTGCTGTGCCTGTCTCCCACCCCCACCCCCAAAGGGCTCTTGGGATGTTACTCCCTATATTGCTCCCTTCCTGACTAACCATCCACCCACCCCACCTTCCACTCACCCTATAATTCTCACCAAGTCATTAATCCCACTCACCTATTGATTCCCAGCCATAATATTACATCTGGAGGCAAAGTGGTTCCGGCAGGGCGTACAGCCCTTGTGCAAAGGCCCTGGGGCAGGACCGGACCTGGTAAGGTGGAGGAACAGCAAGGAGGCCCAAGTGACCGGAGGGGGGTGAGTGAGGGGGATAAAGGAAGAGGAGACAGCTGGGAGGGGATAGGGCTGAATGAGCAGGGCCCTGTGGGCAGTGGGGGGTGGACGTCCTGTAGGGCTGTGTAGGCAGAGGGACTGGCCCTGACTCATGGGCGCCCTCTGGCTGCTGTGGTGGAGGGTACAGAGTTCGAGGAGTGGAAGTGGTAGCAGGTGGGTCCCCAGCCAAGGGGATTGCACGGTCAGGGGGTTGATGGTGGTGGTCAGGCAGGCAGAGGTGGAGAGCGGGCTGGAAGTGGGCACACTTGGGAGAGAAGAGAGTAGAGCTGATGGGATTACAGGAGAGCCCCTGGCCCCTGTATC